GGAACATGTATAAGTCATGAAGAAAGCAATAGCAACATACTAAACGATCGGGTGCTAAGCTAATGAAATGGGTCATGTTAATCAGATCATTCACCTAATGATGTGATCTCGTTAATCAAATAACAACTTTTTGTCCATGGTTAGGAAACATAACCATCTTCGATTAACGAGCTAGTCAAGTAGAGGCATACTAGTGACACTTTGTTTGTCTATGTATTCACACAAGTATTATGTTTCCGGTGAATACAATTCTAGCATGAATAATAAACATTTATCATGATATAAGGAAATAAATAATAACTTTATTATTGCCTCTAGGGCATATTTCCTTCACTTTCTCCATCATCTCTCTCCCCGGCCCGGTTCTAAGCAACGTTTCCTCTTTTTGTGATCAATGCCGGCCTACCGGAACACGACTCTCCTGATCCCCTTGATATCGCCTTCTGTTGCTCCTCAGGTAATCTCATTCATCCCCGGATCAGTCCATGTCCGTTGCCGGAAAGATTTCTTTCGAACAGGTAAACTTTCCAGTCATGATATATCTTCTTTGATGATCTTCCTGCTATGGATGTTTATAACTCCCTTAAAAAATTTCCAAGATCTTTTGACGTTGCATCTCAATTGTCAATGTTCAAATAGCCTGTAAAATATTCCGTTAAATCTATAGCAGACTCAAGCATGGCGACTCTTTCCATCCAGGAGCTACACACGCCACAATTCCTTTCTCCCTCCTATATGATTGGACTCCCACGCTGATATACCTCAATCCCCCTCCCATGCGCACGTATTGGCTATGATTAACCCATAGCCTGGACCAATCAACGGCTGCATAGAAATTGAGCAAGCATCCATTGCTAGCCATCGCTTGCATCAGTCCATCCAATAAGGTTTGCAAGGAGAAATACTAATACTGGAGTAACTTTTCCTTTTTTTTTATGTTGCGCATCCTGCAGCTTTAGACTTGGTCTATGATGATTATGTACAGTCTAGGTTTCTGTTTTGGGGAGATTCTAATGGCAGGAGTTCATTAGTTTCGTACGTTTCTTAGTCCTACGTATGTATTACTGCGATGGGTTTTGTAGCTGATATTTAATCTATTTAGGGGATTCAGTTGACGAAAGATGTACATGTACTTCCGTGCACTGAACTCAAGCATCCCTTCTAAGCTTATTGGATAGGGGATAATTTTTTTGGAGCATTACTTGGTTTGTTAAATCTACTTCTCTGTATTTCTTACAACCAAAACACTATGGTTCTATTAACCTGGATTTGTTCTTTCAATTTTATGGTCACACAATGATCTAAAATACACATGCATATCACAGAATCATAGAATACGCTGTTCGGATGGTATTCATTTTAATAGTGATCTTTGCCTAATGGAGCGTATATGCATTCAGGAGGTCAGGAAGGCTACGTTGCGGCAGTATTTATTCAATTGTGAATGTTCAAATAACCAGTAAAATATTATATGAAACCTACAGCGGACGCGAGCATGATGACTCTTACCATTATGCTCACCTCCCAAAGACTCTTTCCATCCAGAAATTACACACGTCCCTCTCTCCCTCCTATTTGATGGGACTCCCACGATGATATACCTCAATCTCCTTCCCATGTGCATCGTATGTGCCACGATTTACCCATAGCTTGGACAAATCAACTTCTGCATAGAAATTTAGCACACATCTATTCCATTGCTAGCCATCGCTTGCATCAGTTCATCCAATAAGTTCTGCAACCGCAAGGAGCAATACTGGAGTAGATTTTTCCTTTTTTGTTGATTTTTGTGCTGTGCATCCTGAAGCTTCAGACTTGGTCTCTAATGATCATGTACAGTCTAGGTTTCTGTTTTGGGGAGATTCTAATGGCAGGCGTTCATTATTTTCATACATTTCTTAGTCTTACACATGTATTATCGCCATGAGTTTTGTAGTTAATATTTAATCAAATTAGGGGATTCAATTGACCAAAGAGGTACACGTACATCAGTGCACTGAACTTAAGCATCCCTTCTAAGCTTATTGGATAAGGGATTTTTTTTGGAGCATTACTTGATTCAATTGACCAAAGATGTACACTATGGTTCTATTAACTTGGATCCGTTCTTTCAATTTTATGGTCACACAATGATCTAAAATACATGTGCATATCATAGAAGCACAAAATACACAGTTTGGATGGTATTCTTTTTAATAGTGCTCTTTGCCTAATGGAGCGTATAAGCATTCACGAGGTCAAGAAGGTGACGTTGCGGCAGTATTTATTCAAAGCAACAAGGGACGTTGAAAAATGATGCTCAAGTTACCTTTTTAGAAGTTCTTCCTCATACGCTTTTTACTACTTGGTTAATTTAATGTCGTTCCTTTTATAAGTTCATGTACTAAATAATTAAGAACATATGTGAGTCGATTTAAGTACAGTCTATGTATTCTATAGTATGGAGCTGGTACTAGCTGCTATGTAATTAATATCTGATTAGTAACACCAAGAACATGCAAATAAATTTATATGTATTCATTGCTTCCATGTTAACTTTAATAGACAAGGAAAAAAGAACCCGCAATTTTTTTTACTAGCACGCATTGTGGGCAGATAAAGTTTAGTCTCTATTTCTTTCCTTCAGCGGAAAATATGGCCTTGCATGCGTGTATTTCCATTCTCATATAATCGTAAGAATCATTGATGTATATATGATCTAATACCTTATATATAAATGGAAGGTTGGAGGGTATGCCTAAATTAATTCTGACATCATCTTGGATAGCCAATGTCTTTCTTTTACAGAGACAGGATGATTATGTAACTATTCCACGTACTACGTCGGATGCTACAGTTTTTGTTCGACAGAGAATCCAACAGTTGTGCAAAACTACTGTACAAGATGTGTCGCATGTGTAGCACCAGTCAGATGATTATGAAGAGATCCTTGGTATGTAAACATAGAATGCTCTTGAGTTCCTGTATGCCAGATTTGTCTCAGCTGTTTATATTGCATGACCCAATTAATGAAAATTTAATTTGATCAAATCAAAAAGTACAGTAGGGAAGTCATTTTTTTATTCCGGTGATATTTTAATTAAAGGCCTACTTGGCTGAATTTTGGGCAACAGTACATTATTCATGGCAGCTCTTATTCTTTTCTATTTTCAGGTGAGAACAATTTATAATGGATGGAAAAATAGCATGTTTGTCTATAACTCTATATAGATTGTTGGACATGAAATTATAATGTCTTCGTATGAAATGATAATCTTTTGATGTACGTGCACATGCTAGATTAAATGAAATTATTTGTTCGTACACAGAAATTGGTTGGAATGACCATATGAGCCTATTTTTTTAGCACAATGTTATGCACTTCCGCTTCTACACTTCTGCAAGAATTCCTTGATAATGTATTGTCCTTTGTTTGCAAACATTGATTGATGCAAATAGATCGATTTGTCCTATCTAAATATGAGATCATTTATCAATATATTTCCAAAATTTCCAAGTTAACCCGAATCTTTTTGCTAATTTTTCTATATGTTTTTTCTAGACAAATATTTGCTTCTGCGAGTTATTGTGTGCTGAATGGACTAATTGGCATCGACCATTTGTACAGGATTTCTTAATGGCAAATGAAGTATCAACATATTGCGTGAATGTCCTAATGCTTCTACAAAATCTGATCAATATCACATTTGTCATGTTGAACCATTAATTTTCGTGATCTTTGAACTACTTTTCTATATATTTTCTTTTATGCATATGATATATTGAAATGAAGTAATATATTTGTTTACTCTTTCTGACGTTGAGTTAGTATATTTTGGGTGTTTGTACATTTTGTTCCTGTTATTTTGACTTCTAACCATTGTCCATAGAGCTTTGTATTGCAATGGTGTCTTGGGTTGTTTTGTCTATCAAAGTGCTATTTACTATTTTAACTGTGTGGTATTATCATGATGGTGCAAGGAGTAAAATCGTAGTCTGTCCCATATTCATTGCAATTATCCTTTTTAATTATTAGCTATAATGTCAATTGATTTGACATAGATAATGATTTTTAACTTTGTGTGACATGTGCAAATGCATCTTAAGGTATGTGTAACAGTGATCCATCTCTCCATGGAGCGTTAATGTTGACAGAATCAAGGAGAAATTACAAAAGGAAGACTTATGAGCATGCCTATGGTTGCTGCATAATCTTGTTGCATGGTATTCCTTCCGGTTGATTAAGCATTTCCATTCTAGCATTACTATGTGCTTAACTGAGTTCTTAAATAGATTCTTTTTTTTAATTACAAGTGCGTGTTGGCTTTGATTGTTCAAAATTTCCTTCCCATTCAATGTTAAAGTGTGCAAAGTCAGCTGAAAATTATTCAAAATACCAAATACGTGATATTGTCTTGGTTATATATTGTTGATAACAGATAGTGGAATTGTTGTTCGAGCAATAATTTTGATACACGTACTACAATTTCCATCATTAAAAGGATGCTCACAATATAACACTATTTTTTTTTAAAAAACTAGCCCGTGCGAAAGCACGGGTTGACGACTAGTTTGGTTCAGTTTTTATCGACGGATTCCGCTGCCGCGCAACAGAATGTAAACCAAAGGGCAAATCCAGCAGAATCCGATTCCAGAAATCCGCTACCAAAATTTGAACCAAAAGCGGAAGCAGCCCAGGACGTGCTTTACAAAATCTGATTCCGCTGCGGGCCAAAATCTGAAAAAGCTGTATCAGCTGGTTTGTCAAATGACCTACATCTTTTTCACATCAGATTTTTCACAGCTTTTTTTTCACAGCTTCTTTTAAAAATTCACAGCCGAACCAAACAGGGCCTTAGACATGCTTTTAGCATTTTACAAGGCCTTATGGGCCTCTATAGGCATGGGCGCGGCGGATACGCCGGGTTGTCTAATCTGGGCTTATCTGCACTTTGTAACGCACAACTCAGTCCCTTCTCCCCGCCCACTACCTCAAACCCTACCGCCTCGCCGCCGCCGCCATGGCCTCGTCGTCGTCTCCGGCGAGTAGCCACCCGCCTGGCCCGTTTGCTCTAGGGTTGGAGTCCTCGGCGAACAAGATTGGCATCGGCGTCGTCTCCATCTCCGGGCAAATCCTCTCCAACCCGCGCCATACGTACATCACCCCGCCAGGCCACGGTTTCCTGCCCCGGGAGACCGCGCAGCACCACCTCGTCCACCTACTCCCTCTACTCCGCGCAGCACTCGCCGAGGCCGATGCCTCTCCTGCCGACCTCGCCTGCATTTGCTACACCATGGGCCCCGGCATGGGCGGGCCTCTCCAGGTCGCCGCCGCATCGGCCCGGGCTCTGTCGCTCCTATGGGGGAAACCGCTTGTCGCCGTCAATCACTGTGTTGCGCACATTGAAATGGGCCGCGCGGTCACCGGCGCCGTGGACCCTGTTGTGCTCTACGTCTCAGGTGGCAACACGCAGGTCATCGCGTATAGCGAAGGGAGGTACAGGATCTTCGGTGAGACCATTGATATTGCCGTCGGGAACTGCCTCGACCGCTTTGCGCGGATCCTCGAGCTCTCGAATGACCCCAGCCCTGGGTATAACATCGAGCAGGTAACCGGTTCGTCAAATGCTAATTCTCTATATATGACTTCCAGTTTACCAATGTTACTAGAAGCTAGGTGCGCTTTGCTGCGCAGTTGGTGTTGTTGGGTTTCTTAAAAAAAGTTTCAAAATATAAGGTCTTTTACTTTTCTGAAAAGTCAAACCTGTTAAGTTTGATCAAATTTGTAGAGAAATATATCAAAATTCATAAATCACATCGATATGATTAGATTCACCATGAAATGAATTTCCGTACTCATTTGTTATTATTGTGGATGTCGATATTTTTTGCTCTGAACTTTGTCAAAATTAAAGAAATTTGACTTCCAAAAAATAATACCCCTTATATTGTGGAGCTGATGGAATATTTAGTTTGACAGATGGGAGCGATGATGGAGTGTGTTTTATATTTATTTATAATGCGGTGATTTGATGGGCCTTTCGTGGTGCGGTTCTGTGTTATCCACCAACTAACGTATATTTATGTGGGGAAATTTTCACGTCAGGGGCTGCATGTACTATATTGGTGCCATAGTATCGCATGGTGACGATTCTTTTTTGTAGGTGGTTGGAGAGTGCACGGGATTGATGTGTTCTCATAGGCCGGTTGCTGCTGATTGATTTGAAAAATCGTTGGCCTGGTCAAAATCGTAAACCAAATCCAAAATTGAATACCTCAATTGAATGAAATTGTTTAAAATGGGAACATAGTGAATCACGAATGAGAGAGCCCTTGAGAAATGTTGACCAATTCTAAATTGAAGACCTCAGTTAATCGCGAGGCCTTAAAAATCGGAACCATAGTGTATAGTATAAAAGAATTGAATTAGAGAGCTTTGAGAAATTGTTGACCCGGTCAAAATCAGATGACCCAATCCCAATTGGAGACCTCAATTGAATGTGGGCTCTTTAAAACTAGGGAGCTTAGTGTTATAGAGTATTTGTAGCTGTATATGCACATATATGCTCATTTCTAGTTTCAATTGTGATTCAGGCCTAACTGCATGAGTTGTTTAGTTGCTTCAAGCACTTCGATCTGTATGGGTAATAACATAAATAGATTAATTATGAGATATATGAACTAAACTGAGAATGTGGAAAATTGGGATTTTTATCTGGTTGATCTGCGAATTGATTTTCAATGTGCCGAGCTGGTGATTCTTGCCTGTATGAGATAATATTTGCAAATGAGAGGACCATGTATTATTGCATATGACCAATGTAGCCATGTAGGATGATTGCATAACACAGAATAAACAATTGGATTTGTGATGCCATTTTGATATTCAAGTCCTTTGGACTGCCCTCTAGATTAGCTTATACAATACTCCTTCCGTTCCTTTATATAAGGTGTATTTGTTTTTTCAAAAGTCAAACGGGTGCATGTTTGACCAAGTTTTTAGAAAAATATATCAATACCCACAATACAAAATTTATATCATTTGATCATCATGAAAAGTAGTTTCATATTTTATCTATTAGGTATTACAGATATTGTCCGCAATCGTGATTATCATGAATGTCATTAGTAAAGGGAGCACAATAATGATTTAATTGGGGGTGTGCACGACGGCCTTACAACGAACGTGGCTGTACACCGACAATATTGACACTTCAATGTTTCCTTAATAGTTTCAGTTGCCTTGAGGGACTGTGATCTAGCCCTATGTTAGGGAGGCATCGTGGGAGGTTTGGCTGGAAGCCCGACTTGAACAACGCTGTACACTCTCCAAACTTCTCTTCCTGAACGTCGGTCCTAGTCGAACGAGGCTCCTCGGACATGGCCCTAGAGCTCCCCGCATGAGGCTTGAACCTCCGTGCACTACACTTGATTCTCTTGAGAGTGACCGAGTTACATGCACATGGGGGCTTTATATAGCCTATGGGTCCTTCACAGATGAACAAGACTACCATTGAGATGGTAGGTGGAGCGGTAGTGGACCTAATCTTTGGTCCATGGGTCCATGGTGTACTAGGAGGGGACGTCCATAACCTATGGTGGACCAATCCCTCTCATCCCTCCACCATGATGGGATTCTTCACTTAGGCTTCTTTGCCTTAGTTGGCCTCTTTGACTTGGTCTTATCTTTTTTTCTTTCATTTGACTTGTTGATCATGGTTGCTTGCTTGACTTGTATTGGCTTGGCTTCATGTGAATATCAAAAGCTGAGGCATATGTTTATGTGCACCATATAGGGTTTGAATACATGTGAATATCAAAGAAATTACCAAAAAATGCAGTGCTAGATTGTATACATGCATACATTTGTGCAATAATATAATTCCTTGTGCATTTTACAAAATATGTAGAGATATAGACATTAGAGATGCTTACATGGGCCCATAACCCACAGGTCTCGGGATCGAAACCCGACTTTGATACAAACGCCGTCGGACCCTAGGACCAAAATTACACAAATCTAGCTATAGAGAATGATGCATAAAGCTGAGATTCACGCTCGGACAACGACACCAATCTTTGATGGGCCGTGAGCTCCTAATAGTCTTGGAGAGCTTGAAACATTCAAGCCACTACCCCACTACTGGATCACCTCGTCCGAGCGGGGTGGTCTCAAACATTCCTTCAATTGATCTAACTGAGCCGAAGCATCAATACATACGCAGCCACAACCAGTAAAATGGACACATGGTTGGAGTAGCGTGATATAGCTCCTAAGCTCTCAGTACATGAATTGCTTCACCCTGTATTCGATCATCCGCTAGCACATGCATAACATAGATTCCAAGACCCTACACAGAACGTGCACTTTATATCAATACTTGCATCATGCACGCCGTGTGTGTGAAAACAAGTAACACAACTCTACCCTTGAAAGCATATATATAACAAAGTCTCATAAGAGAGCAAAGATAGCAGGTATATTAAAAGCAGAGGTTGCATGACCCAACAGTACATCAAGCATCAGCGGAAACGAAATATGTCCGAGTATAAAACATGTTTAATGAAAGCCTAAGAGGGATGAACAAAATACAGTGACCCTTCCAAAGGCATAGATTGTTGTCTGGACCTCCAAACTACACGCCGACATTGAGATCCACGTAGTAACCACCATCGGGGTTGTAAGCCTACTCTGCAACAAGTTATTAATGAACAACAAGGGTGAGTACAATTGTACTCGGCAAGACTTACATCAGAACTAGCTACATCTATGTTAACCTCCACAGTGATGCACCACCTTGAACCCTCCCACGACCTATGTTGCAGGGATACGGCTGGGAGGTGCTGTATCAGTGCAAAAAACGTGGCCAGAACGGGGATACACATGGATACGCAGGGGATACACGTATCCCTAAGTATCCCCTTTTTCTGAATTAAAATAAAAGGAGCAAAATGCAAAACGGCTGGGATACGATGGGGATACCACATGGATACATATAGGGCTGTTACGACTTGAACCAGAGCCCATCAGGAGGCCGATTGTGGGCTGCCTCATATGCAATTTTGATCGCTAAAACAAACCCTCACGCACGACACTTGAAAAATGCAGCAACTTCTTCACTGCTGATTTTATCATCCTCAAAAGATCAGGTTACTTCATTAACCTCAATTTTATCATTCTCAAAATATTTTCTATTAGTGCTGATTTTTTATGCATTTGTACAGATACTCGCCGTATCCCCGTAAGTCTATTTTCAGAAAATCCCATTTTCCCGTATCGCCGTACCCGTATCCCCGTATCTGTATCCCCGTACCATGTAACATAGCCCATGACTCGCCTGCAAGGAAGCAATCCATGGCTTTCGCACTTATCTTGGCAATTTAAGGTAACCATTAAAGTTGTCTATGATCAAGCAACAATCTCCAAGTTGTCCATAACGGCATAACCACAGACATGACTATACGAATAGATTTAACCTTGCAGGGGTGTACCAATTTACCCACACACGTGTCAATCGGCTCTTAGCATCACATCACACCCGCCCATTGGGGTGCTGACAGAGGGTCATGGACCACAACACTTCCCCTATGCTGCATTTAGTCCAGCTAGTCACCCATCTGAGTTTTACCTGAATCGCGAGTCCGGCCAAATCTTTGATACAACATCAACTGTTGTATGGAGGACCCAAGCCTATCTCCCACAATATAGTTTTATCCACTTGGCAAGCCGTGCTACAATCCTACCATGTTGCCAATTATCTTTCTATGCATATACCAAATGGAAACCCTGAATTATGTGACTCTTGGAGTGGTCTGAGGTAAGGTACTACCGCACTAGGCCAAGGGGTGACCCATATAATCCCGTGTGGTTAGCACGCTGAGTCTCGGATCAAGAAAATGAGAGGTCAGGTCCTAATAGTGGCGTAAGTGAGACAACCCACCATGTTCTCCAACATGGCCACTCACCTTTGCCTTTAGTCATATTAACATAATTATCCCCAGAAGCAGACCACAATCCACTTATCATGTGTATGTACCAAACGTGGTTCATCTCCCAGATGGATCAAGACTCACAACCCTAAGCATAGCTAAGCACGACAAGAGTGTAGGGCCGACATGATGATAACACCAGCAATGATGCTTACATGCTTCACAAATAGAATCTTTTCTCTAGAAACCCTATCGCTTGTTCAATGAATACTAAGCTGATCTTTATCTCTAATTTTATCTCTATTCCTAATTGATAATGCCTAATTCTATGTTTATGCACATGCAATGTTAATTAGTTGGGCAAGATTAGAGATGCTCCATAATGATAAGATATTAATTGAGGACCAAGTAAACCATCTTTATATAAAATAAAGGGGAGCATGTATCTATTGCCAATCAAGCCGTGGTAAAGTGTTTATCAATCTAATCTCTTTCTTTGTCATCCTCCCAAATCTATGGTATATTCAATATTCTCCAATCCTCTATACCCTGCCAATTTGACCATCCTTATCCGACTATCCCTTAATGATTGAGCTATTTTCTACTCCCTCCGTCCCAAAATAAGTGTCGCTGATTTATTACAAGAGACAGTATTATTTACCTTGCATGGACGTGATGCCTGTTAGGTGAGATACACTTCATTGTGTAAAGAATAGATTAGGTATGGACTTGACTTAATGTATGGGTTCTCGTACTTATTTTTAATTTTTTTGTAATACTCTGGCCTACCCCAACTTGTTTGGGGTTGAAAGACTTTGTTGTTGTTGCTGTTGCAAAACCTGGGGTAGATCAGACTTCATAAAAGAGATCGGTGTTGATAAATTTGACGGAACTTTGAAGTTGTTGCTATATTGTTCTTTGTCAATTCTCTTCTTGCTTCTGTTGAAATTCAGAAGTATCACGTTACTTAGTCAGGTAATTTTGATTCAGTAGTAGCCATGACCTACAATATCATATTTCAACCATACAGTTCATATGGTATTTGATATATGGGCTTGTTTATTTGTGCCGTCAAAAATATATTTGCCTTTTACCAAGATTCCTTGCACATCAGTAGACCACAGGACTGAGTTTTCTTAAATTGTTAAATGTGCTCAAATCATAAACATTGTCCAATTTTCATTGTTTTGCAGTGTTAAGGATCTTGACTAATATCCTGCAATTTTTTTTGAAAATCCAGCCATGGGCTCAAAGTAGAAAATCTTGATCAAGTTAAGCTATGTATGATATGCAGAAATATTTAAGTGATGTTGGGTTTGAACTGTGGAAGCCTATTTCTTTTATTAACACTTGGGGCCTCTTTCATTCACGGGATTTCCAAAACGCATGAACAGGAAAAACACAGGAATGGAGTGGTATGCCATCTTCAATCCTACAGGATTAGTATGGGCGTTTGATTGTGCGCAGGAAAAAAGTAGGATTCTTCACTTGAGGTTGGAGTGGATGGAAATTTTCCTACGAAAACTTAGTGCAAATAATTCCTAAGGAAAATTTTCTGATTGTAATCCTACAAATGAAACAACCCACATAGGGAAAAATCCTAAGGATTTGAATCCTCCAAAATTCTCTAGTAAGTAATCATTTGAATCAAAGAGGCTGTATTGAGCAAATGAAAAAGAAAGGTGTTTTGGCTCCTAGGTGCATATGCACCCATTGTCTAAATAACACACTTTGAAAAGTTGAAAAATTCGGAACAAAAATCCCGCGGGTGTATCCGGACATTCTATGTGCATGCACAAAGTTTCGGTGAAAAACGACGTTTTTTGTGGCTTGTGTAAAAAAGATAAAGAAATGCAAAATGAATAGTTGTAATGAAGCATCAGAAATTGTCTTTTTTACACAAGCCACAAAGAACCTTGTTTTTCACCGAAAACTTTGTGCACACACATAGAATGTCCGGATATACACGCGGGATTTTTGTTCGGAATTTTTCAACTTTTCAAAATGTGTATTTAGACAATGGGTGCATATGCACCTAGGAGCCATTGCCAATTTCCGTGAAATGCAGGAGTAAATTAATGTTTGAAATAGAGTCAACGAATGAAGCAGATTCATTAACAACTCAATGTACAGATAAAAAATGAAAACGAACATACAACGTAAATGCTTTCTGCAACGGATGTGAGAAAAGAATGTTAAAACACTAAAAGCAGTTGTGCAATGCAAGTGTGATATTGGTGTGTACTTTCCATCTCATGTTGGCCTGTCCCTTCCATCCTTTCTTTTTGAAATAAAAGGTTATTCCCATTCCTGCGACAGATGTATGGTTGTGTCATGTAGTCTTCATCTTTCCCAGTGGCATGTTTATTCAGTCTACTCTACATGTCTTCCTCTCTTCCAGCTTGCAAAGAAGGGAGAGAAGTTCATCGACCTCCCTTATGTTGTAAAGGGTATGGATGTGTCATTTAGTGGCATATTGAGCTTCATCGAAGCTGCAGCGATTGAAAAGCTTGAAAATAACGAGTGCACACCAGCAGACCTGTGCTACTCATTGCAGGTATGATTTATTATTGAACTCCTTTAGTTTATCCTTGTACAAGTATTTAGGTAATGATTAAGCTTACTTTGATTGAAGATAAGTTGTATATGTTCTAATTAAGGCAGTTGGTGGCCATATCCAGGAAACTCTCTTTGCTATGCTTGTTGAAATCACTGAACGTGCCATGGCACATTGTGATTCGAAGGATGTTCTTATTGTTGGTGGTGTTGGATGCAATGAACGTTTGCAAGAGATGATGAGGATTATGTGCTCAGAGAGAGGGGGTAGGCTGTTTGCAACTGATGATCGATATTGTATAGACAATGGTGCGATGATTGCATACACTGGTTTACTGGCATATGCACATGGTGTGACCACACCCCTGGAGGACTCGACATTTACTCAAAGGTTCCGAACTGATGAAGTTCATGCAATTTGGAGGGAGAAGGAGGTTCCAGTATTAAATAACACAGATTCTGATGCAGCGGCTGAAGTATCCATAGATGGAACCTCTGGGCCGACTCCAATTGCTGTAGATTCCTGAGGTACAATTGATCTTTCCAATTTTATGCTACTGCTGATTGCTTTCTTGCGACAGTTAATGTAATTTAGACACGGTTAGCTGTTTGAACAGTCCTGTAACTTTTGGACCAACCACATGACATTACCATGTTCATTTTATATACATTTCCCTTGCATTGATTTCTAGTTGACTGATTCAGCGATAATTCAATTCCTGTAAAGTCGTAACTTTTATGTGTGCAATGAATTGTTATCCCTTTTTTTGCTTTGTGCTGGTAATCTAACTGTATTACATATTTCCTGTTAACATTTAAGGACTTGGGAATATTGGTAGACACAAATCTGCAATGCATGCTTTGCACAGCAATGCTATTGTGCTGCTTTGGTTCCTATTTTATACTTTCCTTGGAGCAAAAACTGTTAGGTTATAATTTGAACTTGTGACATTCTTAATCTTTGATCCATCTAACGCATTTGGTGTATTGTTTGCTTTTGAATGAAGGTACTGTCATAATCCTGACCAAATGATTGCCATTCTCCATTCTGTCACAGGTGCTGGTGCCTTTTGTTGATTATTTCGGAAAGATTATGTTGCTGCAGATATGAGGCTTTGCTTGATGATTTGTAGAAAGCCTTGAAGGCTAATGGCAGAGTGCCTCGTACATTTTGTTCGTCATGACTGACTGGAATATCTCACCAGTTGCAAGTGATCTGCAAAAAGACATTGCTAACTCCTCTCCCTGTTCCAAATTATTTGAAGGTCTAGGTTTGTCCCAAGTTAAAACCTTGTTAAGCTTGACCAAGTCTATAGAAAAATGAACCAACATCTACAACACAAATTAGCTTCATTAGATTCATCATAAAATATATTTTCATACTATACATATTTGATGTTGTAGATATTAGTAATTTTTTCTATGAACTTTATCAAACTTGTAAGAGTTTGACTTAGGCAAAGCTAGAACTTTTGAGTAATTTGGGACAGATGGAGTATCTCGTAATATGGATCTGTTGATTGACGCTACCCTTCCGCTCCTATGTGTGTGATACTAGTATTTGATGAAAAAGTTAACTTAAAAGTTGAGAAAGTATGTTGGTAGCACTATTCCCATTTTGAAAGCTGTACCTTGCCCTGCTATGTGTGTGACACTAGTCTTTGATGTAGAAGTAAACTTAAAATTGAAAAATCATGTTGGTAGCACTGTTCCCATTTTGAAAATTGCAGTTTTGTTTTACCGATTGTTTACAAGGAGCAGCAGTATTATTCCTTCAAACGATGTTCGGAGCCTCCTGGGGCATCCGCGCCCTTGTGGGCTGTCTGATTCACGTGTGCCTCGCACTGGTTCTTGGCGCCTTGAGGATGCCCCAGAAGGTAACGGCTGCCTTGAGGATGTTTGCCTATGGCATGACCGTAGATTTGTGGGATGAGTACCTATGGATGTCTAAACCACATGTCTCGAAGCATGGCCAGGTTTGCTACTGAAGTGGTCAAGGCTTTTTGTAGCGGAGTACTTGAAAGAACCAACTGCATGGCACTGTTGGAACTTGGAAGCAAGAGGGTGGAGAGATATGCTCAGATCCCTAGATCGCGTACATTAGAAATGGAAGGATTGCTCGTATACTCTACAAGGGAAATATTAGTACCATTGCAAGACGTCCACCGTCATTCTTAAAGTAATTGCATCACAAGACCTTTGGATTTGATGCTCGTTCTTTGAGATGTCTGAGTCTCACAATGACATTGACGTGTTGTAAAAGCCTAGGGTTTTCTTAAAATTATAATTCTTTTTGCGTCATTAGTACTGCATTGGCAGCATGTTGTCTTCGTATCGGTTTGTTCGGGTGTTTCATTAAACCTGTAGCCCTATTTTAGTTCACCGTTTCTTTGGAAACACGCTAGCCACTTCCCTCTTTTCTCTAAGCCTAAATGATGAGGACATGACTACCTTGGATATGACCAAAAATATTGCATATATGCATATTTGTCAGGTAATTTCTAGTGCAAACTATTCAATAATCTATTTATGTTATCCAGAACAAAAATACTTCACACACTTTTGTGTTTTGTCTAATTGCAGGTGTATGGGACATTTGTACAATCCACATATGAAGATAAGGAAGAAAGAGATGTTTATTTGCTGTCCAAAAAGTTCTCTCACGTCACTTTTGGCCCAAGAGAAGATAGAGTCCAAGTCTCTCACGTTCTGGATTCAGATTCGGACTGCACAGACATACCTGACTCAAAACGCACACAAGTTTTTCATACGGACTCCGAATTGGGTGATTCTTTTTTTGTTGGAAACTAGATTTCGTGCACTTTCCAACCCAACTGGAATCATCTTCAAATTCGTCCGGAGCGTTGAGTTGTGGACGAAACAATCTGATGCTGCAGCAGAATCCGAGTCAAACTACAAGTCCAAAGGTGTTACATCACCTCCAATTGGGCCCATTGGCCTTGTACGACCTAGATTTAGTTTTAGGCTGCCTTGGGACGTCCTCCCACCTCCTTGGCCGTCACCCCTTGCTTCTATATAAGTAGATCCATCTAGTAGCTTTTCCTTGGGATTTGTTTAGTTAAAAGTTAGCCATTGCAACTTCGTGTACTTCGTTTGTGTCCAACGACCAGACCAAGACCGCTTCCGGATCCCCACCATTATCAATACTTCATATATATTTGCAATATTCAGATTGCTTTATCATATTCTTGCTCGTTCTTCGATTGCTTGCAGGAATAGACCTTCGTGGTCAGGCTGACCGTGCTTCCACATCGTCAGTAACCTCAGGAGATTGGTTTAGCGATTGCTAAGGCGCAACGTCGTTCACGTTTGTAGTCGGATCGTCAAAGTCGTCTCCACCAAATCGATAGTTATCATCTCATCGAAAGATCGGGACCCTCGCCTCTATCACTAAAGCCCACCTAAACCTCCTCAAAAAACTAGCCCAAAAGCCCCCCAAACCCCATCCTATTTAAGAAGCCAATCTCCTTTCTAATTGAGCCAACCCCAAATTTGGAGAGACATCCCCCCCTCCCTAAATTTCAGTGCCAGCCATCACCTGGTCCGACCCCTCCAAATCTGGCGTCGCCACCCACAGGCAGCTAGCCCTAGTGCCAGATTTGAGTCGTCCGTGGCCAGATCGGATTACTCGCATGCCAGCCAGCACCCCCTACGTGGTCGCGGCCCGCCAGAAATAATAGTTCACACCTAACGTCTGTTGGTACAGTCGGGGTCTTATGTTCTCACTATCTTTCAAAATTTCCAAGTCTCCAATATGGATGACTTAACTCCTCCAGTGGTGTCTTCTCGACTTCTAGTCTTACTAGGTGGTGAGGGTCAAATCACATACTAATCCTATTCACACAAGCATTTCATTCACACAACACACATCACCATCCAATGTAGGGCATCATTCTATGATCTCATTGGACTAATCATGAAGTGTTTGCTTCAGATAAACATAGTACTGCTGGTCAAATCTAAGCTTCACTCCTGCTTTAGCTGAGCTAATCATATAGATCATCGAGTTGTTGCCTCCTCATTCTGCTTCCTCCTTGGTGCCACTCTTGCACTCTCTTGTCCAATTTCCTCCTTGAGTGTTTCCAGTTCCTCCTCTACTTCCACGAGGTACTTCTGGGTACTCTGCAGTCTGAAGCTAAATCTTTCTCCAAACTTCTTAGTTGCTTTCAATGCCTTGCTTCATGTTGAATCCAGGAATGACATAAGAGGCACTGAGTTCGTGAACATGTAGAGTCTAAACTACTTGTGGCCATCATCTTTGTTTTTCCTCAGATGCAGTTAACTCTACCAATACTCCTAGACTTCATTCATGATTGGAAATCCTTTATGCACAACTCCTTTGAGTCCCATGCTTAACTTGAATCCTTTAGTGCCCTTGAGAACTTAGTCTTAAACTCCAATGTCATGGCGACCAATGATCCCTTCTGACCGATTCTATAAGATTGGTCATCCACGTTTGGAAGGGAGAGGATTGGAAAGGCCAAGAGGTAAGAAGTATGAGATCAAGGCATAATAAGTACAAGGAGGTGTCAAAATAGATTTTCATCCTATGAGTTTTCCTAGTCCATTTCCTAGGGTCATGACGTGTAGACAACATGTGCTCTGGTACCATATGTAACGACTCGGTCCCGGATAGGGGCCTGAATCTCCGTACTTGCCATTCTAATCCCTCAATTCATTGCTATAACACACAATACACAATGAAATAACAAGAAATATCACATGCCACAGTATTACATCACATATGCAGTCTTTAATACATCACATACCTGCTTAGCTCATGGCTAGCTTATAATATCATGCAACGGAAATGCAATAATATTTTGTGGCATCCTTCTACTCACAAGCAGTAGTTGAGCACAACATCGTAAACCTACTTTGTATCTTTCCTTCGATACGGACAATCCCGCAACATGATACGTTGTAGCCACAAGGGTCAATACATTTAATGTATTGACAATGTTCCAACTAATGATATAGCAACCCTACAAGTTCTCAAGCATGACAAGGAGGGTTGTGGTTCTAAATATTTCTAAAACTTATTTCCTCTTGCTTCTGCTTATTAGTCAAGTTTCGACCAACCACAGTTGACTTGTGAACAACTTAGGTCTTCTCTAATTCACCTGACTATGAGAGCCCTCGGGATCACATCACCCAATCATTGTCACGAGAAACCTTCAGGATCGTCATTAGTCAAAACTATCATAAGAGCCCCTCAAGATCATGGTTAAGAAAACAACTGCAATGAGAGCCCCTCAGGATCATGGTTACACAAACAACTTCCATGAGAGCTCCTCAGGGTCATGGTTACGCAAACAACTGTCATGAGAGCCCCTCGGGATCATGGTTCCACAAACAACTGCCATTAGAGCCCCTTGGGATTATGGTTTCATAAACAACTGCCGTGAGATCCCCCATGATCATGGTTTCACAAACAACTACCATGAGATCCCCTCCAGATAATGTTCACTCAATCACAACATGCTCGTACACACTTGTACACGAT